GCTCAAGAGGCTTCCTGAATCATTTGGAGACCTGAAATCTCTTCACCATCTTTACATGGAGGAAACTTCGGTGGTAGAGCTGCCAGAAAGTTTCGGAAACCTCTCAAATTTAAGGGTATTGAAAATGCTGAAGAAGCCTCTCTTTAGAAGTTCGAAGAGTGATGCTCCAGGTACAAGCGAAGAACCTCGTTTTGTAATACCAAACTCTTTCTCAAACCTCTTGTCGCTTGAGGAACTGGATGCTCGCAGTTGGGGAATATCCGGTAAAATCCCAGATGTTTTTGAGAAGCTTTCATCTCTGAGAATACTGTATCTGGGGAATAATTATATTCACAGTCTTCCGTCTAGCCTCAAGGGGTTGTCAAATCTCAAAGAACTCTCATTTTCTGACTGCCGAGAGCTCACGCGTCTTCCTCCTCTTCCATGTAAACTGGAGCAGCTAAACCTGGCCAACTGCTTTTCACTGGAGAGTATATCCGACCTTTCAGAGCTGACGATCTTACACGAGCTCAATCTCACAAACTGTGATAAAGTGGATGATATTCCAGGCCTAGAGAAGTTGACGGCTCTGAAACGATTATACATGAGCGGCTGTAGCTCCGACTGCTCAGATGCAGTAAAGAAAAGGCTTTCCAAGGTTGATATCTGCAAAACTCCACAAATTCTCAATCAGTTTTAAATTCAGGGTTTGTTAACAACTTGCTTGCAATCTTGTGGATTTCTCATCGCAGGTTTCTTTGAAAATGCTGCGGAATCTGAGCTTGCCTGGAAATAGAATCCCAGAATGGTTCTCACAAGGCCCTGTCACGTTCTCATCCCAACCGAACAGAGAGCTCAGAGGCGTAATCATTGCTGTTGTTGTGGCTCTTATTAACCATGATGAAGACGAGGTACCTGATGTGATGGGGATTAACGCCCAAATTCTCAAACCTGATCGACTCAGATTCAACACCACATTGCACCTCTCTGGAGTACCGCGAACAAGTAATGATCAACTCCACATCTGCCGATACTCACATCATCACCCCATGGTTACGTTTTTGGAAGACGGTTTCACCATACAGGTGATCAAACAACAATTGCAAATCAAACAAGAGGTTGAGCTAAAGATGCATGGGATTCATCTTGTTTACGAGGGGGATGATGATTTAGAGGCTGAAGAAGATACATTAAATGAGACACAGCTAACCGTTTCTCAGAAACTTGCCAATTTCTTCAGCTCTTTCTCAGAAGTTTAAACCAGTTCAGAAGGTGATTCTACTGTTACATGATCTGCTACCACAGTGAAGTTCATAACCTGCATACAAATTGTTAGTTAACAAAAAAAGAAAAAAAAAGTTGATTTGTATTAAACATTTTCCCTTTTTCTCTTTGGTTTTCTTTTCTCAAGCTTCTATGTTTCGTTAAGTTCACTCCTTCTAGGAGGTTTAGTTGTTTCTGTACTTTTGCTTTTATAAGCAATCCAAAAATTAAAAAAAAAACCAAAAAAGAGGAGACTCTTGTTTCCCATCATTCCTCGAGCATTCTTTAAGAATTCAATTTGATCGACCAGATTAAATGACTCAATACCAAAAAAAAGAAAGAATTAACTTTCACAGCTTGTCACAGTAACAAAGAAGAAACCAACAAATTATCAAAAGGAAATGGTGACAAGACGATGGTATTATTCAAAAAAGACAGTTAAGTGGGGTTGAAGTTCATGTGTCTATGTTCAGCTAGACGCAGACATCTCTAGATCTGCCTCCAACATAACGTTTCTTTGAACTCTATTGTCTTATTCTACGACCAAACCCCACATCTCATTCTTCCTACATCCGAAGGATATTATCACAACACAACAAACTATGCTTTGACCCTTTTGACCATCAAAAGGGTCACTTAGGAGATCATATCAACGGTCAAAATAGCTTCTTCAATAATTCAACTCCATGGCCTAGAGCCATTTGGAACCCAAAGAATCAAACAAAATGCCAAAATAGGAAAGGCTTTGTACATACAATTATGAAATAAGGCAGAAAATCTTCTCATTTCATACATTCCAAAGAGTACATTGATGACCCAACGAATGTACAGAATTATACAGCAGCAGAACAGAAGACAAACATGAACACTGACACGGTTAAAAGCAATAAGAACAGTGGGAGAAGGAACAAAGAATGAGAAATAAAGTTAAAAAAAAAAAGAGAGGCTTTTGATACATAGTTGACTTCTCTCGTACCTTTTTAGCGCTTACGCTGCCAAAACAAGACTATTTTCTGGTAAGTTATCTCAAGCTTCTTGTTTGTTGAAAACCAGTGGAAATTCATCATAATGCTCAGAAACACCGTGTTTATCCGCCATGTTCTTCAAAGATTCATACACCTGAACCATCGTTGGCCTTTCCTTAGGCCTAGACACAACACAGCTACATGCGATTTTCAAGAACTGCAATATCTCCTCGTCGTGTCCTTTACCACATATGCTTCTATCAATAGCGTCTTTGCTTCTACTAGTACCCAAATACTGACTCACCCAGTCTACTAAACTCCCTTTAAACCCTTCCACGCCATTAATAACTGACAAAGGCTTTTGCCCTGTAACCAACTCCAAAAGCACAATCCCAAACCCAAACACATCTCCTTTCAAAGACGCAACCATGGTGCTCGAGTACTCAGGGGCCACGTATCCTAACTCCCCCAAATCTCCATTATTAAACGAGCTATCATTAGAATCACGAGAACCAACAAGCCTTGCCAAACCATAATCCGTAATCCGAGCATCAAAATCATCATCAAGAAGTATAACATTGGAGCTAATGAACTGATGCAAATACGGCGGTTGGCATCCATGGTGCAGCCAAGCTAACCCTCTAGCAGCTCCCACGCCGATCATAAGCCGAGTTGGCCAATCCAAGACAGCATCACACAATCCACCATTGTGCAACTGAGAGAACAACGTGCCATTAGGCATATGCTTATACACCAACAACCTCTCGTCCTCAACAACACAATACCCTAAAAGCGGCACCAAATTCGGATGTCTAAGCTCTCCTAACCTATTCATCTCCGACCTAAACTGCTTCTCACCAAACCCACAAGCGCTAAGCCTCTTCACCGCAAGTGCAGACCCATCAGGTAAATCCGCTTTGTACGAGACACCGGTTCTTGAAGATACATCGATGTTCCCTGAGCTAAAATTGTTTGTAGCAGCCATTAGATCACCCAATTTGATCTTCACGATTGGTTTCTGAAACAAAGTCACCTGAACAAGCTTATGTGACCTCAACAAACCAATCCAATCACTATCGTCTTTAGATTTTCCAGCACCGTAGCCTTTCTTCTTCCTGCTACCTTCTCTAATGAAGAACCACCAGAAAATCGCTAAACCGACACACAATGATCCAACGGCGCCGAGAACTCCGGCGACTATGATGATTGTTAGATTTCTTCCGTTCAAAGCTCCACATCCCGATAAAGGCTTCCCGCAAAGTCCGTTATTGCCGCTAAAATCGTCTTCTCCGAATCGAGACAGCTCGGAAGGAACCGTACCGGAGAGATCGTTTCCGGCGAGAGAAAGACGCCTGAGCCGATCTAACCGGCTCAATTGAGAAGGGATCGTACCCGAGAGCTTATTGTCGCTAAGAACAAGAGCGTTCAAGAACTTACAATCCGCAATCTGGGTCGGGATCGAGCCGGAGAGTTTATTCCCGGACAGATCTAACGTGACGAGGTAAGGAAGCCACGAGCAGATTTGGGGAGGAATCGAGCCGGAGAGATCGTTTCCGGAGAGATCCAGGGACTGTAAACTACGACAAAGCTTGAGCGACTCAGGAATCTGACCGGCGAGTTGCATCGACTGGAGCTGAAGAGAAATAATGCGATTCTCCTTCTCGTTCCAGCAGGAAACACCAGTGAGCTTGCAAATCGATGAAGCAGAAGCGTTTGGGAAGGACCAGGTAGTGAGTCGAGATGAAGGGTCGGTGAGTGAATTCTTCAGACCTTGGAGACAGAGAACGTCGTCTTCAGCAGAAGAAGAAGAACAGAGGAAGGAGCTGATAAATAGAAGCCATAAGAGAGTAATGAAGATCTTCTTCATGATAGAAATGGATCTATTTCTCTCTTTAGGGTTTTTCCTCAGAGAAGTTTAGTAGAGCTTCTATGGCGGAAAGAACGCTCATTGACTGTGATACTGAAGAAAAAGGCGAGAACTTTTTTTTCTCTTTTGACTAATTTATTTCCCTAAATTTTTAATCTTTCTTGTTTGTTTGTTTGTTTCTTGCTGGTTTGTTTTGTTTGGGAAAGGAATCCTCACTAACTAAACGACGCCGTCAAAAGAGTAAGTCAGTCAGAGAAGAAGATTCAAGTCAGTTTTAGTCTCAAAGTTACAATCTTCGAATAGGAAAGCTATTAGAAAAGTTGGTGCAAACTCACTTTTTTTGTTGAAGAAAGTTTTCATTTCATTTCTTGTATTTAATAGTTAAGCGCCTGAAATCAATTATTGTGGTTTTTAACTCAACATATCAATTGATCAATGTTAAATATTCCTCAACTAATATGACTTCAATTGATTATTTTTAATTAAAGTTAGGCTGCTTATAAATAAAAGGATAACAAGAGTTTAGAGCTTGTTATATAGAGAAATGACAAAATATAAAAGGAAACATCACTAGAACTAAAAATATATATAGATCATATGTTTAGGCCCATTGGCTTTAACACTATTTTAGCCCAAATGAGGTAATTATACGTTGGCTTTTTTAACGTTGGGTACAATACTTTTTAACCGGGAGAGAGTGGTCATCAGTCGATGGCAAAATATAGTTAGAACTTAGAAGTAGTGGTAAAAATATAGTGGCAAGAGATTAACCATTATATCACTTTTGATATTGCTAATTTTTCATGTAGTTGGTAATTATTAATGCGGTAAAATCCTTACCACTACGATAAAAGAATATGAATAAAGAATTACAAATGGGACAAATCAAACTCATTCTTTTGTCGTTTTGACAATGATTAACGGGTTTGCTTTACGTTTTCTTCAGCCTTTGTTCTTAGATCTTCCCCCACTACAAAAATAACCACGGTAACACATAAATTCATATAATTTTTTGCAGTGTCACCAAAATTTACATATGTTTTAGCTACTCTAAGAAACCAAAAATTAAAAACCATTTCACTTCTCCCCAAACCAACTCCCAAAAAAAAAAAAAATTAATATGAATAGAAGGAAATAATAGTGTAGATTTCGTTTGTAAACCTGGTCAAATATACACCTGAAATTATATCAGAAACCAACTAAAAAAAAAAAGTCATTCTTGTTGTTGCCTCTGCCACGGCAAATAACCAGTCACTTGATCAGCAAAATTAGACAAAACCAAATCCTTCAATCCAGTATCCCACACTTCACAGAACCGTCGTTTCCAATCCGGCGGCTCAATAGCCTCTGTCCCTAGCCCCGGAGCTCGATCTTTAGACCCTTGGTTCTGATTCTCTTGCCAGTCCACAACATAAGTAGCCACTCTTCTGTAAAACTTAGCCTTAAAAGTGTCCCAAACTTGGTACTTGTAATGATTCACCACAGCAACACTCTCCACCAAACTCATATGCCCGACTCCTTCTCTCAGCTGAAAATGATGAACTTCGTTGAGCAACGAGCTCGTTAGCAACTCTGGCCTGACTATCGACTTATGCCTCTCGGGATTCGCTTGCCTACAAGTGTACCCTACCGTCACGCCTTGTGATGGAACCGAGGTTAAACCGGACGGACCGTAACTATGACACTCCGTTCTGATCTCTCCGACAAGATCCCACGACGTGTAGTTCGATACAAGCGAGCTCAAAGCGTTCTTGCTCGGTAAGCCTTGAGAGTGATGCGTAGGGAAGTAGTAGAACTCGTCGACGTCAAAGAATCCGACCCAGTTGCATTCGTCTTTGGCTCTAACCGCACAATGCGAAAACCCGGCTTCTTGAGTCTTGATCCATGGCCAAACATGTCGACTCACATTGTAGCTCTCTGAATTGAGCGAATCTATCTCTTCTTGTATATCGTCGTCGCTGTTGTTGTCATATATAAACCATCGTTCGACACCGAGCCACGAGTGATACATAATCCATTCCCGCAAGAACGGAGCTTGGTTCCATAGCATTGTGCAAACACAAAGCTCATGCTTAATCCCACTCTTCTTGTTCATCTTCTCAATCGAATCTAGACCGTTGATTCTCGCAACGGAAGGCAGAGCAGGCGTGGATCTTCCTCTAGGATCGATGTGGATTACGCTCACTCGAAAAGTCTCTGGATTTAGCTTCAAACTCTCAGGTAAAACACACCTCACGACTTCTTGCGCTGCAGCAACAGCTTGAGTGACCAAAACTTCAACATCTTCGTCCTCCTCCGAGTTCCCAATCTTAAACTGGCATTTGTAGTAAGAAGGATCTGATTCCTTGTGAGGCCTTCGAGTCAATCCTTTGACAAATACAACCACCGTATCGCCGTCAATCACCGCCTCATAACCAACCTTTGCCCAATTATGAACCTTGCTCTCCTTCTGCTTCTTCTTCACCAAATCTCCATGGAATTGCAAATCAACAGATGACGAATAGTTTGAAGGAGCGTTAGGGCACCGAACAATCGATCTAAACTCATCGAATTCGTCGGTAGAAATCGATGGCAACGCCAAAGTCTCTTCCTTTACTCCATGATAAACACAGACTAGGCTTTTCTCACCTTTCCCGATTCTATTCGAGAGAATCAGCAGAAGATGGTCGGGGAATTGGACTCTGTCTTCAACTCTCAACGGAGGAAATCTACCGTGAAACGAACGGTGAATCGAATCCATCGAAGATAAAACGGAGAGAGCCGGAACACGAAGAGACGGTCTCAGAGAATCGGAACGGACAGAGAGTGTGGAGATTCGGTCGGAGGATAAGAAGAAGAGCAAGACGAAGAAACAACAAAGGCATATGGTTAGATACCTTAGAGACATGAACTGTGCTTTCAGTTGCAGTCTGTTCCGAACTTTCCTCTTCTTCCCATTCTCATACTCCATCATCTTCTTCTTCTTCCTCTTTCAACACTCAATTTTCAACCAAAAAAAACGAAACTTTTTCTTCTGGGTGAGAACAGAACAAGGTGACTAATAAACTGATATAGAGAGGTTATACTCTGGGAGAAGAAGAGATCTGGTTTTTTGCGCCGGCCGACAAAAGTACCTTGTTCTTCTTCTTCTTTGTAAAGAAATAAAGAAAGGAATATATGAATTGATTTCTTTTCCGTTTCTGAAATAATTTGATTCGTATAGAAGGAATAATCGTTGTGATAAACCAGGAAAGAAACAAAGAAGACGCGTTTGTTATGAGTCGCGTTAGGCGTCGTCGTTGTCAATAATCTTGCAAGCCAGTGAGTCACCAATTGGTAATAAATCAATAATTTTCCTCACTTTAGGCGTTCATTAAGTAAATTAATTAAGGAGATTACATCATTTTCTAATGAGCTTAATGATTTATGTTTGTTCTTAATTATTAATAAGGCGAGAAAGCTGCCCCTTTTGTCTAAAGATGCTACAATGAGGTGGGCCATTCTCGTAAATTGTTTTATTTATTTTCATGTTTTGGGTTTGTTCAGAAAAAAAAAAAGAGAGAGAGACCTATGATTCTCTGACAGTTGTGTTGCGTGGTCTTTTTAGTTCTCTTTACAGAAAATAATATTAATTGTTTTTCAAGATTCGCCGGAGGAGGAGAGGACCAAAGCTAAACTTGTTGGTACAAAGCATGATTGAGAGATTAAATAAGAGTCAAAGCTAAGAATGTGTGTGTAGCTAAACAATTGGTCGGTGTGGAATAAGTATTGTTGATGTCTTGATGAGTTGAATATATATTTTTTTATAAATGAAAAAAAAAAGTGATGAGTTTAACTAGCATTAACATCAGAACGTTGAATGGTGACATCAGGATTAAAGATAGCATAATTTTATATTTCTTAGATCTATCACATTCATATATACTTTTCTAATTTCTTCTTTAGAAATTAATATCATACCTGGTTCGATTGGTAAAACAAAATTTGGTGAAGAACATGTTTTGTTAGTAATAAGTATGTTCGACTCATGTCACTCATCCCTATCTAAAATTAAAAATATTAATATACTTTTCAGATGGTTACTTTGTTACTTAGTTTACTAATATATTTTATCAGTTTTGTTATGTCTCTTAGTTAAATATATAATAATGTCTTATTACAAGTTCGTCCTATTACAATGTAGGTCTTGATGAACGTGACGCTGAAGGCGATTGCTCTTCATCCAACTCGCGTTGCCGACCTCAAAAGTTGGTTCATTCAATCAGTGAGTTTGAAGAAGAAAATACAATTTTGCTTAATTAGGGTATAGTATTTAATTACATTTTCTATCTTTTGGTTTTGAGATATGTTATTGTTTAATCTCCCGTCTATAGCCGACTTCCAGTATTTAATTTCATTTTTTTAAATATATTATTGAGTTTAATACGTACGTGTTTTGTGAGATTAGTATCATATTACTATTTGTTACGGAAATTGAATGCAATATATACATCTAACAAATCTTGAAAGATTAAGACAATGAAAGAAAGTGGAGTGAATTATGTATATGGAGTCCATTTAGATTATGCAAAGCAAACCTGGTTCGTGTGTAATTAGAGTGGTGATTTTTTCAAAACTTATATTTGCTTGATTCTGTAATTAGTCATATTTTAGACTGTTAGATAAACATTATTAGGAATATCGTATTGATGGATTTTGTGATGAGTCATATACTAAAAGAAGAAAAATTCCCAAATTTGGAAATGAGGAACGTGGAGATTAGGTAGAGGGTTTAGGTCCTTTAGGATAGTGGGAAGTTGCTAGGCACATTGCTTAAAGTTGCTGGAATCATGTTACTTTGTTCTCTCCCCCCATTATATTTTATAAGTTTATAACTAATAATTGATGTATAAGGAAAAGAATGTGCCTTCCATTACAATTATACATTCATGTTTTTTTTTAGTATAATTCCCTTTCATGTTTTAGTTATACTTGTTTGGCTCTTCTTTTCGATTACAATAAATTCATCAACATTCTTCTTTCCGTTTTCCATACTTTTATTTTTATTGTGTTTCATTTCTACTTCAATCATATTCATAGCACACTAAAAACTTAATATATATATATATATATAAAGCTTTTTAATATGTACTTTATTCATCTTCTTCCTCCAAAGAGGCATCATTTAGAGCTACAAGAACTTGAAAGACAGAGATGATACGACATACAAATTTGAAAATTATACATTAACTCTAGAAATAATACTTATAAGACTTATGAGTTATGAAACTCATGTGAAGCCATTATTAGAGATCTTAGAATAATGGAAGGAATTTACCGTTTGGTGAATATGAAACTTTCATATTCCGATTAAGGACGTATAGGAGATTGACTTATGTTGTTAATTTTGGCTCGATCTAGTCTCGGAAAGCTTTGCTCGAATGAGAAGTTGAATGTCCTTTACTGACGTTTATATGAAGCTTGGAGTTTCTCTCCGCCCACTAGGAGATTGACCACATCTTGTAAGAAGATGACTTTGAAAATTTGCATTTGAGTTTCCCATTCCTAGAACAAGACCAAACCCATGATGATAATGTCTTTCAACGATGATGGAAGCGATAGATCAACATGATGAAAAAGGATGACCAAAACTCAGAAGCTTAGATGGAGGCAGAAAAAAGAATGTGACTTACATTCCGAATCTGTTATCTACCTAAGTGATCACGAGTAGGTAGCCTATCCCGAATAACAAAAATGCATGCATAATTAGGAATCCTTTCTTTGAACCAAACGGTATTGAGCCAAGCAACGTATGGACCCGGAGGATGAAAAGAAATCCAAGTTTTTGATGTGTTGAGAAATATCCGGGAGCCTTATTTCAAGAATTTCTCCACATATAAATTGAGCCACATCAACGGGCCTAAATTAGTCCAATCACCATGCCAAAACAAAGCTAAATTTATGAAATAAACTTTACACGATAAAAATGGACCAGCTAATGAGCGGAGCTTCATCATACGACGCCAAAACCCAACTGCATGTATGTTGAAAATCCGAGGACCAAAGCATTCTTCTACGGGGTGATCATTCGAGAAAAACACATAATTTGTTCATCCACCTCATGCACATGTTATTATCCGTACGTAAAGATTCAAACAACTCGAAACAAAAGCAAAATATACTAGCTCCCATGGCACACTACAAGAAAGATCGGGTTTTACGTCGATAGATATCGACGTAAAATCGACGTAAAAGAGCATTTACGTCGAATTAACGACGAACAAAAATTGTTGTAAAACGATCGTCGTAAAACCGAAATCGTCGTAAAATCGTAGTAAAATTACCAACCCGGGAAAATCGTCGTAATATCGTCGGAAACTATTCGTCGTAAATGCGACGTAAATTTCCCAACGGAAGTACAACGAAAGAAGTCCATCATAAGAACGACGTAAAATCGATGTAAAATTAGGAGACGAACAATTTCAATTAAGGAAAACTAATTTTTTAATTGTCGATGTTAACTCGTCGTAAAGTTTCGACGTAAATCCGACGTAAATATATTCGACGTAAATTCGTCGTTAATAATTCGACGTTAGATCAATGTAAATTTACGACGAATTTACGTCGATTTATATATTAATTATTTAATTCGAATTTAATTTAATTTATGAATTTTTAAAATAATAAAAAAATTAAAAATAGAAAAAAAACAATTTAAATTGAAATTTAAATTCGAAAATAATTTATAAATAAAAAAAAAAATTTAATACAAATTGTTTTTTACAAAAAAACCTAATCTACAATGTGATATCGTAATCGTCGAGGTTGAGATCGACGTCACGAGGAGGCTCTCCGTCTTGACCGCCCGTCGCTGCTGGACCGTCGTTTCCCGTCTGCACTACCGGAGCCGAAGACTGACCGCCCTGCGTCTGCTGGTCCGATGGTCCAGTACCGGAAGTACCACCGGTCTCAAAAACCCTTCGTGCTCGCTGTTGCCGCTCGGATTGCGGTGGCCAACTGCGGAACCGCTTCCGCAACGATGTCGAAGAGATCATGTATCTCGGTGAGCTCCTGCTTCTGGGCCACTTGCTCATGCCTGAGAGTGGTGATCTCAGCATTGGCCGTAGCAAGCTCCTGGCGAAGCTGACTCGGATCCTCCTGCGTGCGGAATCCGGAAGCCGAGGCGGCAGGACAGTCTTTAATAGAGCCCATCCCTAAGGTTCGGCCCTTCTTCTTCGGAGCAACCTACAAATGGAAAATAAAAACGTTAATTATTTATTAAGTAATAAATATAATAAATTTTAAAAAAAATTGAAATAGATCATACCTCTTCGAAAATCTGGTCTTGCTCAGCGACGGTCAACGGTACTTGGATAGTACCGTCGGGTGTGGCCTGGGTCTCCTCGGACCGAGCGTCGACAAAGCTCCCGTCCCTCTTCCGGTGAGTGGTCTCGAAGAGCTTCGTCATTGGAGGTAGTTCTCCTCCGTTCTCCTCGGCCTACCAATTAATAAACATTAGTCAAAAATATTTAATAAATTATAGCAATAAATAAAATTAAAATAATAATGAAATAATTTATATTTAATTACTTACCATCATGAGGCGTCTTCCGGCAAAAGATATTTGGCCAGAAGTGTGCGGGGTCACTAACTTCTAGCCACTCACCGGATCGACCCGGTTTCGGACGGCCGAACACTTAGCCGCAGTGCTTTGGGCATGTGGGTCCAGCCAATACGCCTTCAACCCGTTCCAACAGGAAGTGGACATGGAGCTCGGCTTTGCGTCGTCTCCATCGGTCTCCCACTTCCGCTTCCAATCGGAAACGGTGTTGACTAGGCGTTTCTGCGCCTTCAGCCGGAAAGCTTCGCGGACCGTTTCGTTGATCCCGATGTCCCAGTTCCACCGTTGCCGCAAAAGAAAACAAAAAAATTAGATAAACAATATAAAAGTAAGATTAATTAAATTTAAAACAATTTAAAATGATATAAATAATATTTAAAAAATATTACCGCGAAGCACTTGTACCACGTGTCGAACGTCTCTTGCGACACCTTGCTCCAATTGTAGTGCGGGTCCACGAAATGACTCTTAATTGTGTCGGAAACGCTCCGACCGACACAATTATCCAAATTAAACCTATGAAACCAAATAAATACTTATTACATTAATATTTAAGTAAATTAAAGCATTAATTTTAAAAAATATAAAAAACAAAAAAGTTTACTTACCAATAAGAGTCTGTTTCCGCTTTTCCGGGA